GTTCGTTGTGAATTATAGCGTGTGTTTAAATTAAAGTGACTGTGGAAATTAAGTGTATTGCAAAGTTGTATCGAGAAAGAATAAACTAGTTTTAGTTAAGAAAAAACTTGTATCGCTGAAATGTCTCGGAAAGAAATTATACGGGAAATTAACAAACGACCAGAGACGTAACAATATACTCAGAAGAACCATAATATGTAGCTTTCTCATACTTCTCCAGGTATAAGGGAGAGAATGTAACGATGACTAAATGACATTCTCCATAAGAATTCTACACTACATCATGTGATTGATTTTCATGAAACATCAGATAATGGTTCGGAAAGCAAGGGTCACAACGCCCTTTCAGTCAACCACATGACCATCCAAGATTTTAAAGTAAACCAAGCAGCTATCATACAATATCTGGAGGATATCACATTTAGAGGAACTTTAAATTGATAAGCCCTTTCGGTCTCTTTAACGTTAGGGTAAGTAAATAATTCTGAGTAACACTCAAGTGGACATCTAGTAATGTATCGCACATATTGTACTATGGACGTCACTTTATAACTTAAAAAGCAACAATGGCCACTTCCTTTCAGTAAGCGATCCTAAATCAGTGACTGTCCTAGCTTTAGGATGCCCAGATGTTGTAAATACGATGGGTAACTGGGTTTCCACCTTAAATATTGCAAAGTGCTGATCATTTAAACAATAGCGATAATCATCTATGCTTTGTTTCACGTTTCTTTATTTGATAAAATGGCATTCTTTCTGGAGTGGGTGGCTATTTACTTAGTGGTAGGCTGTGCAATACTGTCGTTTCTTCTGCTCTCATATCTAAAGAGAACTATAAATGGTAATTATTACTGTCGTACTTTATACTCCCACGTCTTATAGAAAACTAAACATGATTACTATTATTATACATTACACTCAAAGTAAGGAATATGTGTTTTAAAATTTGGAATAAGATAATAAAATTCAATAAGAATACTATAATTCTAAAATATTTTAGTCTCAAAAGACTGGTTTACTGTAGTCACTGCTTCAGTCTCAAGGGATCAGTTTACTATAGTCACTGCTTCAGTTTGATAAGATAATTTTACTAAAATCATTATTTCAACTAAAAATATCAGTCTACTACTGAAGTAAACTTATCTCAGCAGATAAGTTAATAGAGTTACTTCTACAGTTTCAAAAATATAGACTTTAGTTTCAACAAATCAGTTCCATACGTTATATAAGTTTGAAACGACCAGTTTAATACAATCTCTTGAGATTGGTTTAATACAGTCACTACTTTATATTGTTACGTATCTGCTTCTTTGTTAATTTCCAGTAGAAATTCTTTCTGAGGAACTTCAGTGATACAAGTACTTTCTTGATTAAAACTAGTTTATTCTTTCTCGAT